GGCGCCACGTCGGGCCGGATAGCCAGCAGAAGCGCGTCTGGTCTCTTTGCGTTGTCCTGTAGGTTGAGGTGCCGCAGCGCTGGCAGCGACGGCAGCGCGCTGGCCACCAGTTCAGGCAGGGGGGTATATTCGACACTGAAAAAGGGATAACAACGGTTTGTGATGTGTAGGGTCTCCACGCAGGACCGACCGGAGGAGGCCAGAGCCAGGACGAGTTCCCCGCCGAGGTCGGTGGGGCTGCGCACCGCGGGCTTGTACGTCAGGTTTACTTTGCGCAGCTGTTCGGCGCCCCGGAGGAGCTTGGCCAGCCCCGCGACGGCAGGCCGGTAGTGACTCTCGGTGTTGACGGTGAGCGCCAGGACCTTGAGCGACTTACAGGCCACCAGGGACTCCATTCCAGGAAAACAGTCGCATACCAGCATCCTGAGGTTTGTCACGCCGGCCAGAATGAGGGCGGTTGAGGTGCAGGTCAAGCTGGAGAGGGGGAAATCTAACAAGACATCCTCGAGAGTGGTGGCATGCTGGGACAGGATGGACTTCACGAACGGCTCCGTCAACGGCGAAAGGTTGCATTCGAACTCCCTCAGTGATGGCGTCACCGCGGTGCCGCCCAGGATCGGAGCGGGTGTGTTTGGCAGCTGGTTCCCTCCGAGATACACATAGACGCAGATCCTCGTTAAGCGAGATGTCGACGCTAACGTACCCAAGAGTATGGGAACATCAGTTACTGCCACGGAACGCATTTCTATTTCAACGTCAGTAAGCCGCCCCAGCATCTCCTGCTTGCAGATGATTGCTGCAGCGAGTCCGGCGTGTGATCTTCCTTTTATAGGAATATACAACTTCGCCGCGGCGCACCTGGTCGAGGCGAACGCCCACTGGGTGCACCCCTTTGCAGGAAGGTGGACAGAAATCGAGTCAAGGCACGGCGCCAGGCGCAGCACCGGGCACGAACAGTAAGGTTTGGACTGGCCGACTTCTAAGTGTCGCCACACAGCTGGATGCACGGCCAGCGCGGCGAGCCTCTTGCACACGAGGCGGCAGGCCAAGACGTCCGCTGCCTCCTCCAGTTTCTCCAGCACCATCAGCCACACGTCATCCGGAAGCACCTCCATGCTCTGCAAAAGACACGCCCGAGGTAAGCAACGAGGAACAAACGTGCCGGTACTGCGCACCCTTGTGAACGATTTAGCCTCAGTGAAACCAAACCAGTGAAGATGAAGCCACCCCTTCAAAACAAAATGATGGGGTGGCTTGAGCTTCACTGGCTTCAACGCACCATAACCTAAAATGAAAACTCCTTCAAATCGCGGTTTTAGCCCTTCTATCGAAGTGCTATGTGAATGCATAGGTGTCTATGAATGCTGCGCATTGATTGAAACCATGTCAAATCTACCGGTTGTTTTCGTGTAGTGCTTTCTGCTTTGTTGTTTCCCTGCCACGCTCCGCCACTCTGGGCAAAATGTCCATATTGCACAGTCGATATTCACCCACCTTTCTAGATCAGCGACAGCCAGCGGAAGAGCGAGGACGCCAGAACTGAGGACCGCGGAGGGAGAAATGTCCGGGGGTGCGTCCTTTTGAGCTAACTTCGGTCTCGTCGAGCGTACCGAGCCGAGCTCGATCTACGCGCTGCCTTCCATCGGCACAGCAGACCGTTTCTGCGCAAGCGCGGAGGGTTTGCGCTTGTCCGTTCCGTCCGTCCGTCTGCATAACCACGCATAACCAC